TGTTTTTCTAATTTTAAGCATTAAGAAGACTCCGCCATCAGGCAGTTTTTGCTCTATTTTGCTTGCATTTCCTGTCCGAGAACTAATTTCTTCATTTTAGCGTAATTTCTTCTGCTTGTCTCCTGATTTCCTAATAGCTCTGCATTAGCCCCGCATTACACCATCTCTTTCTCTGAACACCCCCTCACTACACCAAGACTCCAGTAACCCCGGCTCATGTCCGCCCTGATACCAGTGACCCCCACTGACATATTCTAATCAAATCGTAATCTCGTCCTAAATACCATACCCTGCCCTCCGTGGATCCCCTGAGCTCCAGGAATCTAGTTCCAACATCTGCATGTTTAACAGGCAACATCTGGGACTATGATGCCATGAAGGAATGTGAGGTATTTTCCAGCCTCGCTCTTTCAGAAGAACGTAGCTGTCGGTGAGGCCCCTAACCGACAAACTAAGGGGCATCTATAGGGATCTTTTGGAGATGCCTGATATGCTGCTTATGTTCTTACAGGGTAGAGTTCATCTCAATGCCTTCCGTTTTACCAGTCAAGGGTCAAATGGCTCCTCTATGTGTGGTATGACAGTGTGCGTCATCTGTTCAGCAAGCCACTGGGAGGCCCGATGACGAGTCTCCCTGCAATGAAAGGACAGCGTGGTTAAGAAACACGTGGTCTGGAATGGTAACACGCCGTGGTACTGACCTAATTTCTAGCATGCCTGATTTTCTACAAATGGATTGAGTTGATACAAAGAAGCAACTGAAACTTACCACAACTTCTGGACTCATGACAAATAAGAAGTCTGGTGGTTACTAGAGTTGCACAATTCTGGATAATTTGGGAATCACAATTTATTTTGTCTCAAATAGAGATCATATATTATATGGGGGTTATATAAATTAATACTTTTATTTAGCAAGGATCCTTTAAATTTATCAAAAGTGATGATAAAGACATTTATAATGTTACAAAAGATTTCTATTTCAGATAAATGTTGCTTTGAAATCACAAGAATAAATTACATTTTAAAATATATTCAAATAGAAAGTTATTTAAATAATAAAAATATTTAAAAATTTACTTTTTTTAGTTTTTGCTGTACTTTGGATCAAATAAATGCAGGCTTGGTGAGCAGAAGAGTCTTCTTAAAAAAAACATAAAAAAATATTAACAGTTCAGAAACTTTTGACTGGTAGTGTATATGTATTTAAAAATATATTTAATACACCAATTTAATATTAAAATTATGAAAAAGTTGTTTGAATCAATGATTCAACGACTCACTCATAAACCTACTGGATGAATCTGCATTTTTGAATGATTCTCTTGAATAAATGATTCATTCAATTATACATTTTCAAGTCACTTTTCGCCACCTAGTGGCGAAACAATGCAATCGACACCAACGTTATGTGGCAGTTACTTTCAAACGTGGATTTGCTCTATTTTGGTCGTGCTACCATAGACATCAATGTTTATATCTGAATTATAAACTTTCATCCCAGTATTTCTGTGATAATATGAATGACTGTACGACAGAAATAATACTGTGTAGTTGAAAAGACTGTTTGTGAAGCTGTTTCTTAACCAAACATGGTAACTGCTCTCTGTGGGTCAGCGGCAGTGCGAACGCAGATTTGAATGATCCGGTAAGACTTTGTCCAAGGTTTAATAGACACGGGAGAAATGTTGTCATTTAGAAATGAGATTGTGTGGTTGTCTGAATCGAGATCGCGATCTTTTAACGATTAATCGTGCAGCTCTAGTGGTTACACTGGTGCCACACAGAAGTGGTGATGTGTCACATGCTTAATGGTCCACTCTGCTGATCCAAGATTACACTACGAGCCAGTTCTCTACTTTTCCCCCTCAAGAGGTCGAGAGGAACAGGTTATGGACAGTGGTGGTTTCGTCATTTCATTGTTTTTAAAATGTTATCGTATGGTGTTACCTCACTTCCTAATGTCTTGATTTTCTTAGTCCAATCTCTTATGGTTACGACATGTTATCAAGTCATGTCGGATATATATTATTTACGAGTTGAACGCACATTGAACACCACCACAAAATCATTGGCTGCGTCCGAAAGCCTAGGCAGCCGACTTGCTGCTTTATGAGGCAATGACTTTGGCAGGCAGCGTTTTTGCATGAAGGTACCTCATGAAACTCATGATATTTCGGACAGGCTTCTGAGGCAGCGTAACGGTTTAATGATCTACAACAAAATAGAACGAGTTTTGATGATAACTAAACAAATATTTAATTATTATAATACTGATTTCTCGCTAGAAATAACATCAAAAGTGCAAAAAGTTAGTCAGAAACATACATTTACACACAAACTGACCACCAAGCGCAACTTTCAGATGCCATCTTTATTTTTTTATCCCAACCGTCACGGAATTGGAACGCACAGGATTGTGGGATATCAAAGGCAGTGAAGGATACATCTATGGTGCCTTCAAATTTTGATAAGAAGAAGGTACCTCCGGAGACAGGAAGTGAAGCAGAATTTGGATTCGGACGTGCCTCTGAAGGCAGCATTTTAGAGCTTTCGGACACAGCGATTATTATGAGTGGGAAACTCAATTTTCTTTAAGCCCCGAGTTGGGGGCGTGTCAGTGAGAAAACATGTCGGATGCAATGAATGCTGACAACGACTAGAGATATGCAGCGTCTGTACTGATGGTAAATTTTTTACACACAAACTGACCACCAAGCGCAACTTTCAGATGCCATCTTTATTTTTTATCCCAACCGTCACGGAATTGGAATGCACAGGATTGTGGGATATCAAAGGCAGTGAAGGATACATCTATGGTGCCTTCAAATTTTGATAAGAAGAAGGTACCTCCGGAGACAGGAAGTGAAGCAGAATTTGGATTCGGACGTGCCTCTGAAGGCAGCATTTTAGAGCTTTCGGACACAGCGATTATTATGAGTGGGAAACTCAATTTTCTTTAAGCCCCGAGTTGGGGGCGTGTCAGTGAGAAAACATGTCGGATGCAATGAATGCTGACAACGACTAGAGATATGCAGCGTCTGTACTGATGGTAAATTTGTTGAAATTAATAAAATATTATATTATTGTATAATTACCATAGAATATATGATGATTCAGTTTACATCACCTTCATAAATTGAATAAAAACAGAAAAAGCAAAAACGCAATTATGCACATTATTTATTCATTTTGTAGATGTAGAGTTAAAAAAGTTGAATTTTATGTTGAAAAGTTAAATCGCCATCTTGTTCCGACCAAAGTGACTTGAACTTGACTTGTCAACTCGTAAATACGAACTTCCCAGGAAGACTTGAATGCACCATTAGTCCAGGGTTATCCAATTCTGCACATGGAGGGCAACCTTCCTGCAGAGTTTAGCTTCAACCTGATCCAAAACACCTGCCTGGAAGTGTCTAGTAATCTGTAATTAGCTGGTTCAGGTGTATTTAAATAAACCCTGCATTAATGGTACATTCAAGTCCTCTTGGGCAGTTTGTATTTACAAGTTGGGAGGTTGTAATTACGAGGTCAGGTGCATTCAAATTACTTTGGTCAGAGTAAGATTGTGATATACCTTTTCTACAGCAAGATGTTTAACTCTAGTTCTACAAAATTATGTATGATAAATGTGCTGCAGGTGCTTTTTTATGGTTTTATTCAATTTACAAAGGTGATTTAAAGTGAGTAATGGCACAATGATGTCATATATTGTATATTCAGCTTAGCTGGTTTTATTGTAAATGTATATTTTTAAAATGTAATTTAGTATATTTAAACAAATTTACTAACAGTACATATATTGTCAACAGGACTGGACACCCTTATCTGTCTGGAGGCCAATGAAATTTGCCTGTGTTAGACTTCCCTACACAAGTGTCGTAATGTTGCCTGTTCTGCAGTATCCAGTGTCACGATACCTCCCGGGTGGTGTGAGGAGGAGCTCAGGGTTTAGTTTGACCAGAGGAAGTGAGTCTGTCTGGTCTGGTGTGTTTGCCTGTACTTCATAAGTGTGTGATGGTAAGAGAACGCAGGCAGGGCAAGTTTCATTTCCTCTCCATTCTGACTAGCTTGACTGATGTCTTCCCAGCATCATGTCTGGACAGAAACCGAGGCCTTGTAAAACACTTCTCACCAGAGTGAAGAATTCCCCTCGACACTTTCTCATGTACCTTCCAAACAAGACTGAGCGAATGAATCGGTCACTCTTCACAGTTTACAGTTGACTCTGATTTTAGTCCAACCAAATGTCAAGAATTCCTTCATATTCTTCATCTCTTAAGATTATTTACATGCCACCATGTCACGTCCCTGGTGTATGTCACCTAGGAATTAGCCCTTCTTGGCTTTGTGGAGCATTCTATTGGTGAAAGACCGTCTCTGTCTGCAATGACCTTGCTGTTAATTGGGCAATTCCTCCGCTCATGTGACCTCAACTTTTTCATGGCCTTCCAGAAATGACCCGGAGCTCCCTCATCTGAATACTCATTTAAGAACCCTTTCCGTCAGGCCATACTAATCTCATCAATGTACCTTTGTTCGTTTCTCAAGAGGAACTGTGTTTCTCCTAGGACTCCATCTTATGTGGTTAAGCATGTGTTTTGCTTCTTTGCATATGAAAAAGTAAATTAGTGTGTTTGGGAGGATGTTTCTCAGGGCTGTCAATGCCTCAGGTTGGTTTTAATCATTCAACAATTAATAGACTTTCGGTTTCAAACTTCCTTGTGTTATGATATGTCCTACACCATGTGTCAATTAATAGAGGTGTTCCCACCAATTTTTGGCACACATCTCCGTTGTTTAGCATCAGGAACTTGCCTTCTTTGAACCCTTGTTGTGCAAGACCTTTATTTTTGCTTCACTTTTTGCTACATGCTCAAACCAGTTTCATTCTTCCCTGTTTCCCAAGTCTTGCTTTATACCAATATGCTTTATATCACATGTTGTGAGATCATTGGCAGAGCCAGCATCAAGATCTCATTCCACTCTTTACCTCAGCTATGGCCTCCAAACATCCAAAGGCAATTATTTCTGCTACACTTCTTAACCGCCGGGCCCCACCTCATGGGCTTCTACGGGACCCTCAGCATCTGTCTCCTGGCATGCAAAGGCCGCTGGGTCCATCCCTCCAGCATATGCCCGGAGTAACGTGGGGCTTAGCAGAATTCCTCTTTGGCGTGACATCCATTGCTCTGTTGTGCATGAGTGAACTTCACATAGAGGGCAACAGGTTTATCAGGATGAAGCTACTGTATATGCATGTGTAACCTTCTTAACCACACCAGGACTGCATGTGTTAGAGTAACAATTAACGTCCTGGACACTTTCCCTATTAGAGCAGGAGTCTGCAGGGTTTTTTTTTTTTAGCTGATTTATCTGTAATGACTATGTCTGTGATTTGTAGCGACAAAGTGATCTGAAGTCATTAGTTTTCAAAAACAGTTGACTGTTTGAATGACTGATGGCGATTAGACTTTGCATGTATGAGCTTTATATGAGCAATTGCTCATCTGCATAGAACGTGGTGTGTGTGTGTGTGTGTGTGTGTGTGTGTGTGTGTGTGGTCAGTATAGAAGTAATGCATATTCATAATGCATTTGAAATGGTTTTGCTGGTGAAATAAAATTAAACAACAATATGTGTTTAAACCACAGAAGCAAACCGTTTAAATTTTTTTATTTTAGTTTTTCCAAGCATCAAACTATTTCAGTGATTTAAATCAAATCAGTGATTCAATTTCATTTGCATCATCACTCTAAAATGTTTACAAAAGTCCTTGTTTTCTGTATTAAAATGTGTGGGGAAACATACCTTGTTTATTTAAGAAATATTTTTTTTTAAATGTAGTTCTTATATTAAACATTTTAAATCTATTTTGCTTAAAATGATTTGACTGAATAATTTGGTTATGTTTAAATGATCCCTCTGATTCCTTTTGATTAGCCTATGTATTGTGATTGAATCACTGTCCGAAAAAAAATCATTTGCAACTACTGCAAAATCATATAAACCGTTTAAAAACAGCTTCTTTCAGCTGATTCTTCTGCTCTCTCCTGTATAATGAATGATAATAAATGTGTTTTTTCTTTGCTTTTCTCTGCAGAAAAGAGCAGAATGTCTTGTCTCCAGTCAACTGCTGGAACCTTCTCTTGGCTCAGGTGAAGAGAGAGAGTCGAGACCATGCCACACTCAGCGATCTCTACCTCAACAACATCATCCCACGCTTCGCCCAGGTCAGCGAGGACTCAGGACGCCTCTTCAAAAAGGTGACATTTGTTTTTACATACTAACCGATTTCTCTATAAAAGCCTCTATAGTGGTCACTGAGCTTGAGGCCTCATTTTTTACTAGCTTTTCAGTTCAATCGATAATCTCTCCTCACTGATGTTTTCTTAGACCACATTTTCAGTGTATATATAATTTAATTATTTTATGTCTCATACATGATATAATTTGTCAATATTTATATTAATTAGGGCTAGTAAAACTAACATGTTAACAGTTCGATTCACAACTATCTTCTGTGGTGGGTTCTTATGCATTCTTATGCTCATTAAAGCTGATAGTGAGATGATTAGAATCTTAAATCTCAAGCTAAAAATCTGTATCCTGTTATATTTGCTCAGGTCAAGCTAATAGATGCAAGAGAGCACCATTCTCATTCCTCTTGGCTTGTCTAGACTGGTTAGACAGGCCTGAATTCAGGTCGCTCACTATCTAGACCCAGAGCTGTGAAAGAGATGCTTTCTTATCAGCACATTTCCAGTGTCTATTGGTTATCCAGGTGAATCCAGTTTGATCTGGTCTGTTAAGGTCAAATCCAGCTTTATTTATTGAGAGGGAATCTCCTTAAAGTGATAGTGTACCCAAAAATGAAAAATTCTGTCATCATTTACTCACCTACTTGTTGTTCCAAACCTGCATTAATTTCTTTCTTCTGTTGAACTTAGAAGATATTTTGAAGAATGTGTGAAGCCATGCATTTGTTGGTCCTCACTGATCCATAGTATGGAAAAAAAATGCTATGGAAGTCAATGGGGACCAGAAACTGTTCGGTTGATGATGATAGAATTTTCACTTTTGGGTGAACTATCCCTTTAAAGCAAGAACCCATTAGTTGAGCAGGGTGTTTTGGCACTTTTATCAGAAAGAGATTGAGAATCTAATTTCAAATGATGTTCATTTAAGACCCCTTGTGATATAGTCAGAGGTCTCAGCTATGCATAATTTAAGGTTTATTGCAACTTTCTTTTCTAAACTTTTCTAAAAATTCCAAATCGAGAGAAAGAAAGGACTCTTAAATCGCATTTTTTCCCCCTGTATATCTAGCGGCAAGAGTCTCTCAGACCCCAATCAGCACTTCTTTCTCTCCCGCTGTCTCTCTGTCTGTTCTTTCGTTCCCGTGAGAGAGAGAGAGAGAGATGAGCCTCCCTATCAACATTCTCCTCAACTCTCTCTGTCTCTCTCTTCTGTAGTTTAGCTCACCCGACTCTCCATGCTGCAGAAATAACAGTCCTTTAATTGAACGCTCCTGACCGGCCTCTCTCTAGAGGCTTCCTGGGAATCGCTGAAGTCTGTGCAATTGGACTTACCCCACGTCCCAGTGGCTCACACCTCCCACCTGTCTTAAAAGCGCTATGTCATGCTGGAGAAATTCTGCACTCTAAATGCAAATATAGTCAAGGGAGCCGTGTCCGGAGGAGGTTTACAACTTTATTGAACCATAAGCGCAGACACACAATAAAGGAAAACACTCTTAGAAGTGGAGAAAGAGAAGTTTTGGCTGTGAAATTTTGGATGAATCTTATTCCCCTTATTTAGTGCCTGATGAGAAACGTAGCACAATTTAATTTGACCACTTTTAGCTTCTAATATAATGTGATATGTAATTAATGAATTCATTTACATTTTAACATATCTTCATGAGTAAGAATAAATAGATTGTAAAGTAATTGTCTACCATTTCGTATTGGCAGCAAATAGTGGATAGACACAAAATACCAGTACTACATTGGTTATCATATGTTGACATTAAAAAAAAAAAAATACAAAAAAGTTTGGAATAATTAAGATGTTTTAATGTTTTTGACAAAGTCTTTTGTGCTCACTAAAGCTGCATGTATTTGGTCAAAAATATAGTAATACTGTGAAATATTACAATTTAAAATCGTTTTCTAATTGAATATATTTTGAAATGTTATTTATTCCTGTGATTGCTCTAGATTAATAATTTAATTAGATTATAATGCCATCATCTAACTCTCACTTAAAAATAATCTTTAAAAACACTAATCTTTAGCAAATCTCAAAATGAATATCAGTTTTTCATACTGTACTGTATAATGGTGTGATGTGTAAATTCACTTGTAGCATTTAAAACAACTGATTTTAATTTTTAGTGTTATATTTTTAATATATTTGGCCGTACGAGTGTAGGATTTTAATATCTGTCATTTACAGTGTTGGGTAAGTTACTCAAAGTAATCCACTACAAATTACTACTTTGAAATTGCAATTTGATTACGTTACTGATTACTGCATTTAAAAAGTAATCAGATTACTAATTACTTTACTTTCAAGTTTACTTTTCAAGTTATCAAACCTAAAAAATACCCTAAAAAATGAAACTCATTGTTCTTTCAGTAATTTAATATTGACTGAAAAATTACTTAAGTATGAAAACAGCAACTTGAACGATCACTTGCATTTTTTCCTGATAACAGCGAAAATAACTTAAAATGTTCTGTCATTTTTGATCTTACAGATAAGAGTAATACATCATTTGAAACTGTAAAAGGTCTACACTCGCAATGTCAACAGAAAGCTATGCTTTTGTAAAATAAAGAAAACAAACAGTGTGCGCTTTCTGCCGTCTCACATCACAAAATGAACGAAAACTCAGCGAATACTTCACACACAGACATAAGAAATATATCTATAGAAAGACTGAAGTGTATATTTTTAAATGAAGTTATAATATAATATTCTCTGATAAAGTAATCCGTATGAAACCAACGGAAGGTTCAGTCTGTCCTGTCTGAGCTCATTATCTGTAATGTGGTCACACCCACTCGCAGCGCGAGCTATTCATGCTGTATTCATTCATGCTATTCATCCACATGAGCTTGTACACATTTTACTAGTAGGACTTTTCCCAAATGCCAGACTAAAATGTGAAATCGAGTACAACATTTTGAAATATGATAGGCAACATTTCATTGCATCTAAATGTTGTACAACTTGTCTGCATTTTAGCTTGCATTCTCTGGTGATTTATTAAAGGGCATACTGTCGCGCAAAACATTGATTTTAAAATTTTACTTCATATTTTTTCTTAACTGCATTTAAAACTTAATTTTATTGACATTAGTAACTGAAATCAAATTACATAAAATTAAAATGTAATGCATTACATTATTGCGTTTTCAGGAAAAGTAATTTGAATACAGTAATGTTACTGTGTAACGTGTTATTCCCAACTCATTTATTATGAAAATAATTATTGGCTTTTCTGTATAGTCCAGAATTTTAATATTGGTGCATAGATGTGTTTGGAAAAGCTATTTGGAGACTCATTTAGTGCCACTAACACTAGCTGTGATGAAAATAAATTGAGTTTTTTCTTTATTAGAAAAAAGGCAATAGACTCTGCAATATTGGCTGTGCTTTGGACTCCAGTAACCAACAAACATGTCGTGGACTTATTTTTCAAGCATTTCTCTGCTGAAGTAGCTCCGATCTCTGAGTACAAGTACAATGTGTCTGTGTGTGTGTTTTTTTTCTAAACATAGTACTTTGAATCAAGACAAAGGATTTTCATCAATTCAACCACATGCTCTTGTTTTTGGGGTGAGTTAGTAGCAGAGGTGTAGGAACAATCCTTTGACATGTGACTGATGTTGAGTGCCAGTAAACCCGTCCCCTCACACACACCCCAAAGTGATGCTTCTTTGACAGATTTGTGCACAACCAAAACTAATCTCCTGTCAAGTTCACCGACAAACGTGTGATCGTTTTCATTTAACAAGTGCATCTTGCCATTAAGGCTCATAAATCCATGTCCTCCCATCTCAGTGTCTCTCCCCTGTTTCCCAATAAATTTAAAGAGGCCTTCATGGAAAATCAATAGTTTACTCCCATTTTTGGTGCTTTGTGTGTTATCTTTGGAGTGTGTCTCTGAGCAGATGGAAGAAGGCAGCTCTGCCTGCTCCGACCGCACTCCTCAAGATCCATTTCACCGCAGGAGTGTTATGCTGCTTAGAGGGGAAGTGTTATGTGTGTCTGTGAGTGGTGGAGCAAGAGAGAGGAAGGAAAAGTGGAAAGGAGTAGCTTAGACCCAACAATCCTAATAGAAAGAGCAGACTGAATAAATCCATCAAATGCTTCTTATTGAACTGATCTGAAGTAGGGCGACCAACAGGGCAGACTGGAGCCAAACCCCACTGCACGTGTCTCCCCCAGCAGGTCTGTAAGCACAAATGAGCTTACCGACGTCAGCTGGGGAGACCATATGCTTCTGAACTATCTCCCACACCTTCAGTTTAATGCTCACACATGACAGGAAAATGTAATGGGACAACATTTTTATAAATAAAGTATTTGGAAGTTTGTTTGGAGGTATTTTTAGGCCTTTCCACTGGAGAAATCTACCGGTCTGAGGTTGTTTCCAATTATTTTATTGCACTAGCCATTTATGGCTTGAGTGATTGTTATGGGCCTTATAAATACCTGGAACAAGAGCTTATATGTCTATGTCTGTTTTCCTAATAATTAACTTTTTCGTAATAAGGCACTTCAGTATTTGGAAATTATCCTACACTTTTAAACAAAATGTGCCCTACCTGAGGGCCACCACATGCCAAAAATAAACCAGATTTATCATTTGCTTTCATTTTATGTCTTAATGCAATAATGAGTAGTTTGACCTTCAGTGAAGTGGATGGAACTTCAACATTGTACAGCAGTGTTATTTACATTTCGATTTCGATTTTAAATACTATTATGGTGACATTTTAATATTTTAAAGAATTATATGCATATTTTACTGTTTTAAATTATTATACAAAATGTATAAATAAAAAGTAAATTTTTTTAAGT